ACAGAGGCATGAAGCAGTATACATCTTGCCGTAGGAGACCCTCAGAAACGTAAGCAAGCTAATTAAGCGAAATTGCTTGAGAGGGGTGTAAACCTAGCAGATATATCGCTTCCAATTTGAAGACGGCCACATGTTTTATTCATGTAAAAACTGCATGAATATGGAAAGAGTTGTCGCTTCTTGAGAGTAAAGCAAAATAGTACTGCGTTTAAGATATAACTGATCACTCTCTGTTTTGAAGCACCATGATGACTATAATGATAGTTATAATGATGATGAAGATGATGAACACAATGGACCTGAGAGTTCATTGCCACGGGAAAAAGCATAAATATACCACAGGCTTTATAGTCAATCCGAGGCATTAATGTTTATGTGCTGTGATGGTATGGATCTGTTTTCTTTAGAATGCCATAAAATCACATCTCTGTAGTAATGTTTTTCATCTTGATTCACTGTGGAGATTTTTGTTTCTCTCTAGTCTCTATTTTTACTTTTATATACTCTCCGAATCTCTCACCATAGATGCTAGTACTGTTTGTTTTGTTTGTTTATTTACTTATTGCAGAAGCCCAGGAATACATTTATAAGCATCAACATTTTTGACATTATTGTGATGTATAATCATTCAACAAATATATAACACACATTGATTTAGGGTTGTTTTACTACTGTAAGTCAGAATAACTTTGGAAGTTGAAAGAAAGTTAAACTCAGCACAATGAGCTTTAGGGCTTCTGTGATTATTTATTTAAATAAAAATAAATTTAAAAATTTCAACAAACCAAAGAACCTTTATGTTTGATATGATTGATTTGTATTTGTTTATTTATTTATTTTAGTTTCCAGACTGAGCTGTTTACAAAAATTCAAATGTAAACTCTTGACTGAAGTGATATTAAAAAAAATGAATACTGGGCAACACACTCAGCCTGTCATTAATTATGAATAGTGTTACTAGTAATGAATATCTTTAGCTCTTCCAACAGCTCTTCTTCTAATTAATTCATTTCTGTCACAGATCATTTCTGTCTTTAAGTACAATCAAACTACTACATCTAATATGGTGCCAATGAGATACTCAAGGTTTTTGTAATTAATGATTTCTTTACATACTGTATATTTATAGAGAATGTGGCTTAAATGTCGCCTTGGTTCCAAAACACCAAGGGAAAATAAGAAATTTAACTTTGTCTATCCTCTGAACTTCTTCTCACTTAACTTCCCCCCTCAGTAATCCACAAATCATAAACAAGTATCACTTTCCTTCCCTCTTCTTTTTGACAGTACACACACATGCAGCACGCCTTCACACACACATACACACAATTTCAAAATCTTATTGAACTAGCCTCCAGAGGATTTTTTTCATCAAACTGGAAGCAGTAGCCTATAGAAAAATGGGACTCTGATTTTGCACAGATCAATCAGTCACTCAATCATGTCTTCTACTGTCCTGTCTTCTACTGGTCTCTTGCATCCCGTCCTGGAAGGGACACAGCACATTTGTTTGATCTCAACAGAGTGTTTTTCTGCTTATCAGTAAATGCAGCTGTGCATCCCAGACAGCGTGCAGCCGGAGAGACGGGACGGCCCTGTGATGTTTTCATCACTATAGCCAGTAGATATTACTCGCTCTGTCGCTGTCTCTCATCATTCTCTCGTTTTGACGATTTTGAACCAATAAACCATGAAAATAAACCATTTATTTTATTTTAAGTATCTGAAGTATATGTGTAAGCGTCTTTGCCAGTGTTGGGGAGTTTCTGAGTAAATATAGCGCCGTTAATAATTAAATTTTTCAGAAATTTCACAACACATAATGAGCTACTTTTTCCAATCAGTGACATTTGTAATTGAGCAAACTCGTACATTAATCAAAGACGTTCATTAGGTTAATTTGGATGACTCAGTTAAATGAACATTCAAAAAAAGTTCCTGAAGAATCACTGTTCAGTAGTCCCTGTGACATTTACATTTAGTTATAGTTCATCATAGTTTTAACACTGTGTTGTTAGAAGTTTATTTTTTGCATTGGGTGTAAATTTATTTTTAATATGGTAGACATGCATTTTAAGCATAATTTGTTTTAGTTTTTTTAAATGCTGTCTATTTACATAGCTTCAATGTAGTTTATTTTTGTTAGTAGCTTGTTGTGTAGCTAACTTCTTTAAAGGGGTCATATGATGTTGCTAAAAAAAGCATTATTTTGTGTATTTGGTGTAATGAAATGTGTTTATGCGGTTTAAGGTAAAAAAAACACATTATTTTCCACATACTGTACATTATTGTTTCTCCTCTATGCCCCGCCTTTCTGGCGGGGCATTTTTACAAAGCTCATCGGTCTGAAAAGCGAGGTGTGCTCTGATTGGCCAGCTATCCAGCGAATTTGGCCGAATACCTCAAGCGTGTGACGGAAATGTTACACCCCTTACCATACTGTGATGCCCTGTCCAGCCGGAGCAACGATTCAAAAACATGAAAACTCATTACAAACGAGGCATTTGTTGCATCCAGTGGGGACATAAATACGGATTATAATGTCTTATACTGTCTTTTTACGTGTTGTGTTGCATCGCGCCGCGTAAACATAAAACCATGTCTGCATTTGTGATCGGAGAAATGACAAACAACAAGTGCTACTCTACACTGCTCAAAACTCGCGTTTGAATCGTCAGTGGCAAATTCTTTAAATATAAAAAACTTACTTACAGTCTTTGAGTCAGAACAGCCGGCATTGTAGTCTGCTCTACCAGGATCAGGAAACAGTCCTCCATAAAATGCGCTGGACACATCTGAATATTTGGGTTGAAGTGTTCTGGAACAGTGTTGTAAATACAACTTAACCACTGATTTCTAGTCGTGTCCTCTTTTGGAAGGCCAAACAAAGTAGTTTCGCTTTCACAACGAAACACAGTGTCACACGCGGCGGCGGCCTAGAGTGAGCGGAGGCCGGAGGCTAGAGTGAGGAACGGCCAGCGGGCTGAGTGAGCAGAGGCGGTGGGCTTGAGAACAGCGCGGCCAGCGGATTCGATGAAGGAGCGGCCGGTGGGCTTGCGGCAACCACATGTGACGGGCTGGACTCCACGCTTCGTCCAAGGTGAAAGCCGATCCGGCAATCCACAGCACGAAGTTGATGTATTTCCTCAGCGACCAGCACAGATCAGCTCTAGGCATGACAAAGCAGATATCATCCTCTTTTGGAAGGCCAAACAAAGTAGTTTCGCTTTCACAACAAAACACAGCGTCTTCACGACATGGCGGCAGCAACAATACTACAGCGAGAATAAAAGTTACGCCTTCTTTCTTTGCGTGAACATTTGGGCGGCGTTATGCAAATCTTCCCACATCGTGACGTAGACATGTGGGGGCGTGTTAGAACTAGCCGTTTTAGGTAGGTGTGGCTGACTCTTAACTTTTATAAAGAATATCTCTTTGGTTTTGAGACTTTAGTCTTTGCAACTTTACAGATCTTCTTTATGCACCAAGAGCTTGTCACACTCCAAAGAGAAAGGAAAAATTGAAATCACATCATATGACCCCTTTAAGAATATCTGGTTTGCTTGTTAGTGGATTGGGGTGAAGCTAACCTTTTATGTCACTAACTACTTTAAAAATAACTTTGTAATAATCCTTGTTAATATAGCAGCTTTTGCTAGTATCTTGTAGTGTAGCAACTATACTTTTTCATGTATCTAACTACTTTGAGAATAGCTAATTAGTCCTTATTAGTATTGTAGCTTTCGTAAGTAGTTTGTAGTGTAGCTAATTGCTTTTTCAAGTAGCTAACTACTTTAAGAATATCTATTGTAAGTAGCTATTGTAACTTGTTAGCATGTTTCTAGCTTTTAGTGTTGTTAATTTTGTCACTACTTTAATTAGTCCTTATTAGTAGTAGCTTGTGTTAGTATCTTGTAGAGCAGCACACTACTTTTTTTTCAAGTAGCTAACTATTTTAAAAACATCTAATTATTCTGTGTTTGCTTGTTAGTAGCTGTTAGTATAACTATTTTTATTTTGCTAACTAGTCTAAAAATAGCTCGTTCGTATGTAGCTTTTGTTTGTGCCTTGTAGTGTGTCAAAGTACTTTATCAAGTAGCTAATTACTTTAAGAATAGCTAATTAGTTCATGTAGTAGCTTTTGTTAGTAGCTTATAGTGAAGCTAACTACTTTTTAATGTAGCAAGGAGCTTGACCGCAGTGTAACTACTTTAAATAATAAGAAGCTACAGTTAGAGAATAGCCTTTACTGGAGCACTGGTCTCTACTGAGAATGTAGCAGTGTGTATTTGGCTGTAGTCTCTGCTGCATGGTGATGCCATTACTGTAAACAGCATCTGGCGGACACACTTCATAACCCCTTTAAACAGCAGATTACTCTGCCGTAATGAGCTTGTGTTTGTGTGCTACAGCTTGCCGCACATTTGCACCTTGGGCTGTGGGTATAGCTAGTAGAGTGTGATATTCGTTCATGTGTAACAAATGAGATCCAAAACTTACCCCTTACACTGTCTGTAATGCTAACTTGAACTACTGCGATACTCTGGGGCCATCCCAAAAAACTGACAAGTCTGAGAACAAAGCCCTCAAGGAACTGTTTGGTAATAACCCATGAAGAATCACCATTGCGCCTTGAGCAGGCCACTGAACCCTAGGTTCCTCCAAGTCAATTTTCCCTGTAATAGATTGACCCCAATTATTCCCAAGTATTTGGTAACCTAAAATGTATGAATTCCATTGCAGTAGAAACAAAATACCAAACCAGAAATGTTCAAACATATGACATCTTCACTTTTTTGCAATTAACTTTGAATCAGCTGGACCCACGGTGATATATTCTGTTTGAATTTTTTCTGTATTTTTTTGTTTGTGCATTTTTAACTGCCCGAATACTTTTTGGACATTAAGTTTACTGTATGTTTAAAACACACACACACACATCAATTTGTTGTAAAATAATTTTAGTGTCTCATTTTGTTTGTGTCTTCTCTTGTTCTTAGTTCCAAGGAGAGGTCCCGGAAAACGCTGTGGGTGTGGTGGTGGCCAATTTGACAGTCAGAGACAAGGATCAGCCTCATACACCCAATTGGAATGCCGTCTATAGGATTACAGGAGGAGATCAAATGGGCCATTTCGCCATACGCACCGATGAGATCACTAATGACGGCAGGGTCATAGTGGTTAAGGTGGGTGTATCCAGTTACATTGGCAGTTAATAATGTTACACGAAACATTATTCGTGGTTCTCAGACTGCTGATCTTTTGATTTTTAACTCTGCATAAACATTGAACACTCTCATTCACTTTCTGTCCTCTATCCCATCACGGCATCATTTCCACTAGAAATTAACGAGAAATCATGACATTATCATTTACTACAACTAAAACCTTTCCTCAGCATACCTCAATACTTTATTCTTATTAAAACTTATTTAATTTAAGGAATGGTAAAAACAATACTTTAAGCTGCTAAAAACAGTTTGAATTTATTATGTCTCAATTATTCATTGAAGTGAATTATTTGTCAGTATTACAATGAATTTTTGACACATTATTTTTGAATGGGTTGACTCATACTGAGTGATAGACAAGTATGCATATGTTTTGCTCACTTTGCTTGGCCATTTGCATGGTGTGTGTGTGTGTGTGTGTGTGTGTGTGTGTGTGAGAGTGAGAGTGAGAGTGATTGAAGCCTTCGGCATAAATGTATTTCAGCCTCTTTGGAAGTGTTACCCAGCTTTCACAGTCACATGCGGTTCGGTACACCACATTTCTACCCATAGAACAGCTGATCCTCTCATACTCTCCTCGTCAACTCCTTTTAACCTTTACTCTAGGGTTCACTTCATCTCCTATCTCAAACTTAAGTCACTTTCTGTTCCTCTTCTAACACTTTTGGAGTCTCATTTAGCTTGACAGTGAAGAGTTAGTTTAATGGCTTTAATTGAAATGGGTTTTGCAGTTTCATTGAATGGCTTCATTGAATCATGTTTCCTCTAACAAAAAAAAAACAGCCTCTTGCTCATGTTACCAAATCTAAAATCACCTTCCTATTATTGGAGCACAATCAAGTTCTTTGAAAGCTGAAGGAACTTTCGTGTTTTTGTGCATATGTGAAGCCGATCGACTATGAGAGGAACAACGCCTTCACGCTGATGGTGGTGGTCTCAAACCAAGCTCACTTGGCCAGCGGGATCCCCTCCTCACCGTCCTCCTCTGCTGCTGTTGCAATCACAGTACTGGATATCAACGAGGCCCCCGTCTTCCCATCCAACCCTAAAATCATCCGTTTTGAAGAGGGAGTGCCTGCTGACACAACCCTCGCTACTTTCGCCGCACTTGATCCAGACCGCTTCATCCAGCAGACTATCAGGTAGAGAGGAATGACAGCGGGTGCTTTTGTCTGTCTGTTTGAAACTCAGGATGTCAATCTTTCTGAGCGACCGTAAATGTCAATCATTTATGTTCTTACTCCCTCAAACACACACACAGATCAGTGACAAAAAAATTCAGTTTAGTCCAAAGGTGCCAGGTTATTATCAATGTTCCCTTTAATTTTCAAGTTGTTTTCATACATTTTTGAAAAATATTTATACCATTTTCAGTCATGTGGTGATTAAATGTCAAGTGTTGTAACCATTAAGTAAAATGTCATACATTTTTCTTATACACTAAATGCACTTGAGCGTATATATGCTAATCATTATAAAAAATAAAACAAAAACATTCAAATTTTTCTTTTTTTTTTAGTTTATGACCTTGTCACAATGTCAGGAGTCTGCTGTTTTAAATAATAACAATAATAATAATCATAATAATAATGTTATTATTATGTAGTTTTTTCTTTGTTGCAGTTATAGTTTATTAAGCCCCACAAAAAAAATCTAAATGTATTTTTATTCACATGTTGAATATGTATGTCATAGATGTACAGTTGTGATCAAAACTTTACATACACTTCGCAGTATCTGCAAAATGTTAATTATTTTACCAAAATAAGAGGGATCATACAAAATGCGTGTTATTTTATTTAGTACTGACCTGAATAAGATATTTTACATAAAAGACATTTACATATAGTCCACAAGAGAAAATAATAGTTGAATTTATAAAATGACCCCGTTCAAAAGTTTACATACGCTTGATTCTCAATACTGTGTTGTTAACTGGATAATCCACAGCTGGGTTTTTTTTGTGATGGTTGTTCATGAGTCCATTGTTTGTCCTGAACAGTTAAACTGCTCGCTGTTCTACAGAAAAATCCTTCAGGTCCAACAAATTCTTTGGTTTTCCAGCATCTTTTGCGTATTTGAACCCTTTCCAACAGTGACTGTATGATTTTGTGATCCATTTTTTCACACTGAGGACAACTGAGGGACTTACATGCAACTATTACAAAAAGTTCAAATGCTCACTCACCTCTTATTTTGGTAAAATAATTAACATTTTGCAGATACTGCAAAGTGTATGTAAAATTTTGACCACAACTGTACATTGCAGTCATTCATGTATTTTTTTACTAACATATTTAGAATAAGACAAAAAAAAGTGTTACATTATTGACCTACATATAAGTGCACAGTTATACACTGCATTGCCTGAAAGCTTAATTTTTCTAATCTATATGTCTCTTAACAACAGTACTGTTACTTAAATGCTTTTAATTAGTTTCAGAGTCTTATTGAATAATCGATTGACTCAGCAATTGCTATTGATCACTTACATAAATCTCTCATTAGCTGAGTGACACACGTGAATAGGAAATCAACCTGATGTCCGCCACATAAAGTCTAGTATATTCTACCCACTCTGTTCACTTTTCAATTTTCTGCTGAATCATGCTTGAGTTTTAAAATTCCCATAAATCTATGAGGACTTTATTTGACTGGTGAGTTTAAGAGCCATTTTTATAGAAACCAGGCTTAAAACAAATCCATCACTCTCGGGTGCAGGTCAGCCCCTGACTTTGTAAGCGAACGTCAGAAGTACATGCAATTTCCATACTGTGCTGCATGTCAAGTGATGTAGCACGTATCGTTCACACCATTAGCACCCCTGGGAGCAGCTAAATGCTTTTAATTGACTCTCTCCTGTTCTAGTCCCTTGGTTGTGCCTGGGTTGCCAAGCAATAGGGTGAACGGTCATCGAGTAATGAGCCGAACCATTCCCCACACTGCTGTTTCTATTGTGTCTCTCCCTCTCTCTCTATCAGTTGTTCACGCTTGATCTCTCTCCATTTCTTTTTTTTCATGACTCAAAAGTGTGCGGGCAAGATGCCAGCTTGAAGTATTGATCCAAAGTTTGCCTCCCTGCAAGTTCACTCACACACTCGGGGGACCTTCACTAGACTTGCTCCATGGATCACTGTGTGCAAGGAACGGTCCAATCAATACAGTCCACACTGTGGCGCTCTCGCTCTCCGAATCTATCAATGTTATAGGCTCAAATAAGTTACAGGGAAGTGCTGAGCAAACAAAAGACCCTGACAAACAAACAAACAAATAGATTCAGTGTGGGCTTGATTATTAGCAGTACTGAAATAATTTGCGATAATAATCAAACACCATTAGCGAATATATGCATTCTTGCCAACTTTGAAACCTGGTCTGGCAGATAAATAGGCTGTAACTGTTTTTAACTTTAGTGTTTTGGATTAATAGCGCAGAAGCCTGAGATATTACCCAATAATATGTAGAAGAAAGATTATGTGTCACATCTGTGATTTGATTGAGTGTAAATGTTTCCGCCGTTTTCTGTGCAGATCCATTGATCAGAACAGAGCCCATGCTGTGACTGAATGGCGGACATATCTTAATAATCCACATGCTATATCCTCATAACAGACTAAATATGATTTTAACAGCATTTAAATGGATTGATGATCTCAGAGTTCTACATTATTACCCACAGCCATACTGTTACAGCATAAATTATGATTGAATGTTGAGCTCTATGGCCGCGTCTTTCGGATGCTTATGGATTTTTATCCGGAGTAATCTGATGAACGAATGCTTTTGGCCTTCAGGTACTCCAAACTGTCAGATCCAGCCAACTGGCTGAAAATCAACAGGACCAATGGAAGGATCACCACCACAGCGGTGCTGGACCGTGAATCGCCGTATATGAAGAAAAATGTATATGAAGCAACCTTTTTGGCCGTGGACAACGGTAAGAATAGAGGGGGAAAGTTTCAACGAAATCAAAACTTTAAGTGAGTATCGGTGCATTAAAGGTGTTGTGTATGGATTTGGATTTAAAATGGATTTAAACGATTAGTTAGGTCAATTTGGAGAAAGGTTGGTTAGCTTGAACCTAATTTGTCCCACAGAGCCAAAAAAGCTGTTCTCAGCCTATCGATTCATAACCTATCAGCACTGGGGCATTTTTCAACTCTGATTGAATTTCATTCTCTTGCTCTATTCAACCAAGAAAGTGTTCCAACAAAGCTGCTGTCCAATCACAGTTGATTTGCTTCTCCATGTTTACAGAAACTTTCTTAAATAGAGAGACTACATTGTTTAGCACAGGGAGTTGCTTCACACCATCAGAACACCTCAGGAGGAGTTGGTATGAATAGGAATGAATGGTTATACTTGTCACAAGTGAACCCATATTTAATGTAATCTAGGTTGAATTGATTTAACTCATAGTTTTGATCATGGTTTTTGAGGATGAGGGACTGTCTCACCAGTGTTGAGCACACTAACTTACAAAACTACAAGCTAATCATATTTTAAAGTAATTGAAGTTGAAGAATCGTTAAGTAGCTATACTACCTGCTACAAACAATTATTTAATCATTTTGTTGTGTTGTTTATGGAAAAAAAAGAGGGGTTTTGAATTAACGGATAATTAGAGTGACTGTATCAAGCTTGAAAAGATTCACACACATTTACATAACTGTGTCAAAAACATAGAACAGTGACTTCAATGTTTGAATCGTTTTTTAATATGCTTATTTACATGAAGTGTTCAACAAACCAATTCACTAAAATAAATTAGTACCACCTTTAGGACCATCAAATGCTACATGAGAAATTGGACAGTCGAACAAACTGATTCACTAGAATGAATCAGACTTTCAAAAGATACATCTGAGGAAGAATCATTAAGGGTGAACCGATTCACTAAGATAACTCAGACATTCCAATGCTACATATTATGAAATAAAAGGTTTCTACATTACATTTAGGAGTAGTTTATCAATGGTGACTATGTCAAGGTGATGTACAGTTCTAGGATAGTAAAAATCATGCAGTTAGTTAATGACATGTACTGGCGACTGGCGTTTTGTCTAGCAGTTGATACAGATGCCCAGGGTTGACGGGTTGTATTTTAGACTCATATTGGACCTTCTAATAACAGAATTTGACAGAATCAATCTTTCTAATATCTAGCCTGTTACTCAGTCAGAGCTTTGGGAATGATACCGTGCCGTTTTCCACAAATGCCTCTCACCTGTGATGGCAGATTGTTTGGAGAGCAAGTAGGTATATATCTGGCCTTTGTACAGTGTGTTTTTGTCTTTGATTCACACACAACCGTAGGGAGCAGATGTGTCTGTTTCTTCAGGCAAAGTTATTACACATATCTGTCCTCTGAGAGAGCCTAGCTCTATTAAAGAGAAAAAGGCTGTGTGAAATATTTACGTGCAGTTATCATTTCTTATTTCTGACACAATTGAGAGTTTTCAGGACAAATACATGAACTTTACGACCATTACCCCTGACTGTCGTTATCCTCTTTCTGTCTCATAGGTTCCCCTCCTGCCACAGGAACCGGTACTCTCCAGATTTATTTGATAGATGTGAACGACAACATGCCTGTCCTAGTTCCTCAAGAGACTCTGGTCTGCGAGAGGTCACGACACGGGTATCCAGTCAACATCACAGCCTCGGATTTAGATTCCGAACCCAACGCTGGCCCATATGTCTTTGAGCTGCCCTCTTTCCCCTCTTCTGCCCGCCGTAACTGGACCATTTCACGCCTCAATGGTTAGACATGGAGTTTACATATTACAAATTGAAAGTATTCAAGGCTTTTACCACTTCAACGGGTCATTTTTGACTTCAGTTCATGCCTTTACTGTCAATTAAAATGTTTCCCTTCAGGTTAATACATCTAACGTTAATAATGGATAGAAAAAGGATATTCTTTTAATATGTAAATATAGTTTCCAGATAATATTCAAATAATTTACTTTGGCCCTAATACAGTGATAATATAAAAGCCAAATATTTAATTTGGGATTTAATTTTCTATCTCTGTCTAGGTAATTATGCCCAGTTGAAACTGCGGATCCCGTACCTGGAGGCAGGCATGTACAGAGTTCCCATTTTAGTTTCCGACTCAGGAAACCCTCCCCTGTCCAACACCTCTGTCTTGAAGGTGAAGGTATGTCCCTGTGATGAAAACGGAGACTGTACTGTGATCGGGGCAGTGACTGTGGCCGGCCTGGGAACTGGAGCCATCATCACCATCCTCATCTGTATCATTATACTGCTCAGTAAGTGATGGATGGATCAGGCGAATAATAAATGAAGAGATAATTAAATCAGAGAATGCAACAAAACCAAATTTTCACAACATCAGTAAATTGTGATTAATACCCTTTCAACCCGTCATTTCATTTTTGATTGAACTGTCAGTCAACATTTTCTCAGCAAGTCTCGTTAGAAATATGTACAGAAGTGCTATTCCCATTCAATGCATGTGCCATATCAAAGTTTATATGCAACTTCCAAAAAGTATTATAATATTAAAAGTATTATTATAGTATATGTACACCACCGTACAAACATCTAAGGTCAGTAAGATTAAAAAAAAAAACGTAATACTTTTATTCAGCAAAGATGTGTTCAATTGATTAAAAGTGATAGTAAAGACATTTATTATGTTGCAAATGATTTCTATTTCAAATAAATGATGTTCTTTAAAACTTTCTATTCATCAAAGATTCCTGAAAAAAAAATTCCACTAAAATATCAAGCAGTACAAATTCAGCTTTGCCATCGTAAGAATAAATTATATTTAAATAAATAAATAAATAAATAAAAGTTTAAATTGTAATAATAAACTTAGTAGTTCAATATATACAGTGGGTACGGAAAGTATTCAGACCCCCTTACAAATGATTTTAGCAAATGGCTGCAATATAACAAAGAGTGAAAAATTTAAGGGGGTCTGAATACTTTCCGTACCCACTGTATATATATATATATATATATGTGTGTGTGTGTGCGTCAGAAAGTGTTTTGTTTTCTTAGATCATGTCTTGTCTTGCCTAGGGCACTAAATGAGTCTGGACCGCCACTGGTGACCCCTCAAAATTAGAAAATAGGTGCATGACGCCCCTGTATGTTTGTTTTTCTTTAGGTATGGTTCTGTTCTTTGTGGTGTGGGTGAAGCGAAGGGAGAAGGAGCGTCAGACAAAACCCTTATTGATCGACCCTGAGGATGACGTCAGAGATAATATTCTGAAGTATGATGAAGAGGGGGGAGGAGAGGAAGATCAGGTCAGTGTCACACACGTCATGCTGATATCGATTGTCGAGTCAAGGCTGTTTTGACATTTTCAGTCGTTTGCTGCTTCTTTGTCTGTTGCAATAGCATTTCTGACCTTGTTTCAGACGTGCACTGGTATATTTTTATTTCTGTTGCAGGACTATGATCTGAGTCAGCTGCAGCAGCCCGAGTCTCTAGATCACATAATGAGCAAGCCTGCAGGTGTGCGGAGAGTGGACGAGAGACCCGTTATCCTAGAATCTCAGTACCCGGTCCGGCCCACGATACCACACCCAGGGGACATCGGGGAGTTCATCATTGACGTATGCTCCCTCTGTCTCTTATCATGAAGATAATCTAGTTAGGCCTTAGGTTCACCTAATGCCTGCAGAGGGACATAGGAAAGAAATACAGTTTTAATTTGCAACGAGATTGGAAAGCCATACTTAACAATTTGATTTCCTGATGTCCACTTATATTTTGGCAGAAATCATTCAGAAATTGTTTTTCATCAGTAATTTGAATCTTCCATCTGACCTTTAGAATTAAATAGTCTGTTAAATAGGCTTCTGTGTCTTAAAGAAATGTTCTTTGAGCAGGGAAAGGAATTAAGTTCTGAATCATTTCTGGAACAAAATAAGATTATTAGTGAAACAAGAAGAAAATGTATTAAAGGGTTAGATCACCCAAAAAAGAAAATTCTTTCATTAATTACTCACCCTCATGTCGTTCCAAACCCGTAAGACCTCCGTTTATCTTCGGAACACAAATTAAGATATTTTTGATGCATTCTGACAGCTCTCTGACCCTCCCATAGACAGCAAGGGTACTACCACGATCAATGTCCAGAAACATAGCAAGGAGATTGGTAAAATAATCCATGTGGCATCAGGGGTTCAACCGTAGTGTCAGCCGCACCACACGGATACGTTGTTTTTGTTCAAATCAAAGTACAAACAACGTAGAAAACATACATTTCTGGACGTTGATCGTGGTAGTACCCTTGCTGTCAATAGGAGGGTCAGAGAGCTCTCAGATTCCATCAAAAATATCTTAATTTGTGTTCTGAAGATGAACAAAGGTCTTACGGGTTTGGAACGACATGAGGGTGAGTAATTAATGACAGAATTTTCATTTTTGGGTGAACTAACCCTTTAAATTCTGTGCTGAAAATTGACAAAGTGTGAAGTATTAAAATGATCAACAATACTGTTAGAAATGAACGTCAGCTACTCTTTCCCAACCTTGCACTGCTTTAAGATATGCAGAGTAACAGGTTCTACACACAAGCATAAACAGAAATTCACCCATTAAATGTAATAATAGGAATAATCTCCTTATTTTCTTAACCATGAGTGTGCTGGTTTTATTTTAGTATACTTATATACTATTATAGTATTTATTAATTTTGTGAATTAGCTCTTTCTGTAATATTTTCAGTTTTCATTTTAGTTTGTTTTTCTAACTTTGTTGTGAGATGCTTTTATCATTTTTATTAGTTTTTTTATATTTATATTTAAATAAATGTACTTTTACTTTTTAATATTTTTTTTATTTTTAAATTTTGAGTTTTAAGTTTTTCATTTAATATTTCTATTTTGCTATATTTTATTTCAACTTTAGTTTAAACTTTATTTCTTTTCAACTTTTGTTTACCAAAAAACAAGTTAACGATACTGAACTGGGCAAACAAAGTTTCTGGTCAGTCATTGACAAGTAAACGTGGATGGACATGTGTTCATCTGATCTGCCTGATGTGAGTAAGAACCACAAAATGAGTAATTTTTTGCAGCTCAGTTTCAAAAAATGATCTTTTTCACTGAGCAGGAAGTTACAGTGTGTTTTCATAGTGCATCAAGGTCTTTCATCTCAAACGATCAAGGAAAATGTGATTCCTCCTGATGTGACCTCTTTAAGCACTTTACAGCAGTGGCTTTTAGAGTGTTTCGTATGCGTCTGTTCCAACAGCCTCGTCTCATGTTCTTTCTCGCTAATATTAGGGTCTGCGTGCGGCAGATAATGACCCCACTGCTCCTCCCTACGACTCCCTGCTGGTGTTTGACTACGAGGGCAGCGGCTCCACAGCGGGCTCCGTTAGCTCCCTGGACTCCTCCAGCTCTGGAGAACAGGACTACGACTACCTCAATGACTGGGGTCCTCGCTTCAAAAAGCTGGCAGACCTCTACGGAGGAGGGGGAGAGGACTGAAGGTGGGAACTAGAGGAAGACGGAGGGGAACGGAGAGGGCCAGGAGGGACAATTGGCTTCTCAGATGTTTTATTGAGAAGCCGTACGCCAAGCCTCCGACGTGGGCTGATTATCTCTCAACAAAAGTTCCTCTGCACGCTACGGAGGCATCGAGAGGGGAGGATATTGCCCTGCAGCCTGCTCTGGACCTTTGCTGCAATCCACAAGTATTTTACGGCTTTTTACAATATTTCACGTTGTGATTTCTTCAGTGTTGTTTTGTCATTCCTCTCGGACCGCCTAGAGGCTCAAGATGGAATCGAGTTGCGACGGAGACAGCGAACTCTCGGCGTGCGGGAATTAAAAAAAACGGGTGCACACGCTCGTTTTTCTGTTCGCTTTATCACTAAAGAGAGTTCCACACACTTTTTCTCTCAACTTGAATTTCAGTAGAACAGAAGCACTGTTGTTGATAAAGTGCCTTTTGTGGTGTGTTTTGTATCGGACTCCTGCAATCTCAGGGTCGGTTGCCATTTTGAAAAGTTTCTTCTGTTGGGCACACACTCCCCCGTTCCTGTCTGCTCCTCTCGACTACCTTTTGCTTTGCTTTCATCCCTGCATCAACGGTGCAGAACGCCTCTTTGACTACTATGTGGAAAACAAACAAAGGAAACAGAGAATGTTTTGTCAAGACTTTTGTTGATAAACACAGGACTCATTTTCTCTTAAGAAATCTAATTTTCCCTTGAGAAATTGGAGCTTTCTCTGAATCTGAATTTTTTTTTGTTTGTTTTTAAACTTGACCGACCACGACCATATAATGTTATGTTGTTTAATGGTTGTGTAAAAAAATCAAGATCTTTTTTTTTTTTTTAAAGAAGTAAAAATATTACAGGAGAATGCCTTTTAGCTCATACTCTTGCCTGCCGTGTACGATTTTGTGTTGCTTTTCCGAATTTTAAAGGTAATTTAGGCATGACAAGTTGCCAGACAGTCAGACTAAAAGTGATGGCTGGAGAAACCCGACTCTAAAAGGATTGCATCAGAAGAAACCTTCTTTTTTGTCTTGAACATTCCCCTTTTCTAACTTTATAAGTTGATGAAAATATTATACGTGCATGACTTCTTTCAAAACAATGTCTCAAATCTCTCGCACTTGTTCCTCTGTGGTCAGAATGTGAAAAGTAGTTGGCAAAGAATATACACCATACGAAATAAATATAATCTGAAAAAAATTTTTTAAATAAAAAACAAAAAAAGATTAAAGTATGTTTAAAATGCTGTAAAATACTTATTTTTGAAGTATTATTTTAAACCTTTGCTGCTCTTCAAGCTCCAAGTTGGGTTAAATGACAGTGTCTGGGCCCGTTTGGTTTTAAGTGTGTGTGAGTGTATATTTGTCTATATCCTGTAGGATTTTTAAAATCTCTTTTTATATGTTTGTCTTTTGTATTTTTTTTTTCTTAGGTTTTTATGTTTATTCTTTGGCTATGAGAAATGCAGCAGCGTTCTTTTGTCTTGTCGTGCTGAAGAAAGTCTGTCTCGTTCGTTCTGTCCCTGGATAAGGGTCTAAACCTGCACTGCAGAGAAGCTTACAATCATGCCTGCTCCACCATTCAGTGTAACTGATTTCTCTTTCCATTCCTCTCAAATATTGGATGTGCTTTAGAGAATAAACAATCAAATTTTTTTTTTTAATGGAAAAAAAAGGGAAAATTCTCGGTCTCTGTCCTGTCCATAATAGGTTCACGTCTCTTTTCTTCTCCCTCTTACTTCCATGTTCCTTTCAGCTGCTTGTCATAATATTTTCCGGGCATGAGTGAGCATTGCATTATGCCATCAAGTGACAATTGAATTTAGCTGATATATCGAGTATGGGATTTCTGATTAAGCCATAAAATCAGGCCATTTTAAAATGGCAGCGTGATTATCATTAGAACATCTGGATTTCCATGCATTACCATTAAATTAACATTGACTTACCATAACTTTGGATGACTGCTCCTCCTACACGTTTACCTTCAGAAGCATTAATAACGAAGCACTCTGTCCAGTGATGATGACTTACCTGATAGAAAGTTTCCCAGATTTTTCAAGTTTTTAAATGAGCCATGAAGTTCTTTCCCATGACCCAGTGAGAGGTCAGTGCACTCAAAGGACATATGGCATAATTAAAACATAAGGCCCACCACTAATGACGAATCTCTGGGAGTGGATTAAAACTAAAGAGCATGCAAATGTATGAAATTACAGTTGGATAATGAGATTAAAAATGTCATAAATTAATTCTGAGTTTTTTTTTTTGTTTTTTTTTCAAAAAATGTATATTTATGTCAGTATGAATCAATCGATTTGCAAGTAATTTTGTTGTATGCTTTATTAGGACTATCAGTCAATTTAACATCATAATTGCATTCCTTTCAAGATATATTAATTTTGCAAGTAATATCTGCCGAGAAAAACAGATGAAAGTTAATATTGCCATATCATGAAATCACCTTGCAATAAGTTACAATGGAGTTCTGAGGTACACCTAGGGATCATCCACTCTTGTATTCCATCGACAATATTTTTGAATTGTTAGTCTATGTTAATATGCATTCGACAACTTTTGTCTGATGCGTCGCAACTTGCTGTTTTTTTAAAGCATCTTACATCATGAGCGCCACTTTGTCATTTTGTCATGATAAAAACACTGAAACTTTGGTGCATGATAATTTTTGTGGAATTGCTTTAAATCACCACTAAATTAACAGCCCTTATACAGAATTTATAGTACAGTGAAATTTGTGATAAAATGAAGGGGAGTTTCATGGACTCTACAGCACATGCCACAGCTCATTTGGTTTTGATCTCATTTATTAACCTCTTGCCCATTTTAAAGACGGATACATACTGACAGTTTATCAGTGCTCTTCCATTTGTTTCAATCAGTACAACTCCAGCTCGCAGCATCCCTCTCTCTCTCTCTGCTTCTCTGTTACGCATTGCATACTAAGGTGAACATGTTCTGTTTTATCTATTCTTCATGTACCAAAATTGTGTATGAGTATCTCTCTGCGGTTTCAATAAGTCAACACACAGAGAGCGTGAGCAGAGACACCAGAGAGAGTGAGAGCTGTAGGGGATTGGAACTCTCTGCGGCCGTGTCTATCAATTAGTGCTCTGATTAATCCCTTGCTTTAATCTCATCAAGCAGAACACTGCTAATTACCCACAGACGAGAAGAGAGAGGGATGAAGAAAGAGCAAAACTATAAGAGCATGTGTCATTAGATGCAAGAAGGGGTGGTAATAGAGGAAAAGAGGGAGGAGAGGAAAAGGGAGCAAAAAGAAAAGCGGAGAGCGATCATACAAGATGGCGTCTTTAGGGTGAAATGTTGAAAATCTATGGCTCTATTTTGTAGAACACGAAGTTTTGAATAGTGTGCTGATGGAATGTACAGGCTAAAGTTTAATCCATGTTTTGTACAAGTTAATGGATTAAAGTAGGACTAAAGAAATTCTCTAGTTGAGATTTTCAAACCTTCTGTACTAGTTGTACTGAAATAAGTTCACTTAACTTTATGAAATGTTGGAAACCAACTGCACATAGTTTTTTTTAAGCCTCCGTAGCTTAAAATAGAAGATTAAATCCGTGCTGAGAATAATAGTATTTAGGATGCTTGTAGTACAAAATAAAACTATTAATTAAAAGAAGTAATATTAGTAAACATTCTAGAGTATATTTTACCCAAAATTGACATTAAGCTAGCTAATTTACTATTTAATAAGGCAATCAGTAGCAAATCAGTATGTAACTTAAGTAAACTGAATTTTTTTTTTTGAATTTACAGTGTAAAAAAAGAAGAAAAGAAAAACTGACCATTACAATGTGCAAATACAAAAGCCCTAACAACAAGATGTATTAATACTAAAGTATTTTATTTTCATTACAGTCGATAACTGATATGGTGCTAGTTGCATTTGTATGTAACGAGAGCAAGTCTGCAGTGTGACACAAAGTGACGCTGGTGTAAGGTTCCCGGATGAGCAGACTGATATACAGCAGTGTCATGGACAACAGAAAATATTATATATAATAAATATTAAATATAAATACAGGGTTCATAATAGTACCACAAGAGTACATATTACTACTCTAAGGTACCAATATGCACCCTTTAGGGGTAAAGAAGTTACAAAGGTGTCCCTCTGAGGGTACTGCCCCAGTGACATGCTGTTGTACCCCTAAAGGTTCAATTTTTTTGCACATTTTTTTCTGAGAGTGTATAGAAATAGAGAGAGAGAGTGAGATCGGTGGGAATATCTGCTGGATACGGCAATTGATTATTCACGATTAGTTATCTCTGAGTACTTAAGAACCAATCACTCTGATTTGTGAACAAATCAACTAGTCTAGTTTTTGAATTGAATTTCCTAGTCATTGTAATTACACAGAAAAGAAAGAAAAACTTATTTTGAAGAAATAAAGGCCTGCAGGTTTGGAACGACATGAGGATGAGTAAAAGATGATCGAATTTTCATTTCAGTGAAATATCCAGTAATAGCAAGCAGCTCTTGTAACACTTTATTTTAGGGTCTCTTAACTAGTTGCTTTTTAGCATGCATATTACTCTTAACTAGTTGCTTATTAGCATGCATATTACTAGAATTTTAGCCATTTATTAGTACTAATTAAGCACATATTAATGCCTTCATTCTGCATCCCTAATCCTACCCAATACCTAAACTTAACAACTACCTTACTAACTATTAATAAGCAACAATTTAGGAATTTATTGAGGGAAAAGTCGTAGTTAATAGTGAATAAGTGTTCCCTATTCTAAAGTGTTACCGCAGCTCTTGTTTTTGTTAAAGAAAAGTGTTTAAAGGAAGCCAGCGATCAGATGAATTTCTTTTGTATAGGCGCTTCTCAGGCAGCCAAGCCACGGCGGCAGAAAAAATATAGTAAGGCACTGATGGATTGTTCTTTCACAAATACAAACTTAACAGGTGGCTTGCGGCCAACGTTGTTATTAATAAAGTTTGCCCTTTCAAATACACTTAAACATATTTTTCATCTACCCAATAAAGGCCTAGATTTCCAAGGCCATGGACGAGAACAAATCACTTTGAAAATGATTTGGACAGTGTACATGTGCCTGCGTACATTATTGAATAGGGTGTCTTAATTGAATGTTTACAGGTAAGTGCTGAGAGCATCCAGAACAAACAAAATCAGTCTACGGCTACGCTGTGCTGACTCAGCTATTCTATAGTGAGACGCAAGTCAACCACAGAAAGTGTTTCAGCTATGTAAATGGAATGAATACAAAGGAGCCTTGCAGTTTATTTGTGAGTATCTGCTGTAATGGCCGTCCATGTTTCGCTAAACTATCATTCAGCATTATAAGTACAGAAACTGTGAAGTAGAATGTAATATTTCATCAGCTCACTAATAGTATATGCAGTAAACAATGGAGATAGCATGTCAGTCTTAGACACTAAATTATAATTGAACAATTTACTTATATTTGGCATCTGGTAAATGTTTTGTTAACATAGCACTGAGATGGGTCTAGTCACTACTAGGGTGATGTTTTAAATCCTGAATCAGCAACATGACAATCCATACCAAAGTCAAAATGCAGCTGTAGCAAAACTCAGAAATCCCTCTGCGATGCTAAAGTTGGTTCTTCCCACAGTGGGCGTGTCTCAAGAGAGACAACTAATTGGCTGTGGCCAAACACACAATCTCAGTGGATCTGGAT